TATTAGTTATACTTATTATATAGGTACAACCGAGAAAAAAAAGTAAAACTACCAATACGCATTACCTAGTCGTATTAATCATTAATTATAATAACATTGTGCATTACTAGTATAACATCTTAAACCTGCACCGCAGCCCCTCAATTCAAATCCAGTTTGAAAATACACGAAAATCGGGTTCGCTCCGAAGGATCTTATATTATTTTTATCATTATTCCCGGATAAGACGAAACGTTTACAAGATGTTCCAAACGGCCTAGAAACACATCGTATATAATGTATTCACAAATTTGTAATTATTTCGACGCGGAGTCGGCGTACACCTCTACATAATATGTAATATAAATATATACAATTTAGTGTAATTCATATTTCATATTTCGTATCTTTTACAAACTAATGCGCAGTCACCGAATGTCTTAATTTATTCACGTGTCAGACATATACAGTTTAGTTTCAGGCACGCAAAGATCGAAAGTCTTTTTTGTACCGAACACTATAATAATAGTAATGTGTAAAAAACCAACGTTAAAATACGAAACGCCGTCGAGAAAACCTGTTGTATACATAAATTTCGGTCGGAGTTTTTCTTGCATATAAAATTTGGTTGGAGTTTTTGTTATTGTTTTTTAGAACAATACTGTGTTGGAAAATGTTATCCGTTTAGAGATGGTAATCTTTGTCCGAAGTAATTGTCACAACTTAATAATATATGATTTGATGTATTTTATACATCATAATGCAGCTGCATATACTTGATGTGAGAGGTTGATTGTCATTCGTTATAAATTATTATATAATGCTTCCTATAAAGATATTTTTCAGAATTCGCGGGAGGTTCCATTAATTTATGTTGCCTTCGCATAAGGATTTTTTTTTGCTCTGCAAAACAGATTTCGGACAGCCGACCAGCCGAGAATATCACCTTCCTATACTTTTGTTGTTTTTCCTACCAATCATCGTCTAATTTTGTGTCCAACGTCTCCTTAGAGTGAGAGTGAGTGATTACGGTAGAGATATTATAATTTCGGAACTGGATTTGTTTACGAAAATGCGCGCTTCGCTATTTTAAGATCACTGCGTGTCTCAAACCGCTGTGGGTGTTTCATTTACATATTATATGCGTAACTTCGACTGCGTCTGGACCAAGACCGGTAACTACGAAAAAAAAAAAACAATTATATAAACACGTATAATATTACTCAGAGATGCACATATTATCGTCGTCGTCATCTCGTTGTGTCGGTTTTCATATTCGATTAGGTATACTCTTATTAATGATATTATGTCGAACGCGAATAATCATTTATATATATATAATATATTATATGCTTTTTTTTTTGTTCGCTAGAAAAAAACGAATCTCGATCATTCGAAGGCATATATTATGCGTGCAAATTATTGTTTATTACGTGCCACGTGAGCGGGCGAGTGGGCATGGTTCTATAATATTATATTATAATTATAATGAAACCATAATCAAAATCAATAAAAAATTAAATAATTCTGGCCGACTGCGCGGCGCGTTGTCATTATAAATATGCATAATAGTATGATGAATGCTTTAAACCAACCTCGGCGGTGACGTTTGTCTATACTTGTCTAACATATGTTTCGTGTCTCCCACCTACTTGCATTTGTGTTGTATAATTCAATGGCCGTGTGACTGTATAGAAACTATGCTTATAGTATAATTATGGAGGTTTTCAACGTCGTCGGTTTCCGAACTTTCGATCAATACAAAGTTTCGTACAATAATAATACCATTATAATTAATAATATTATGACGCTTATGTCTTCGACAAGATTCGTGTCGTCGCCGGATCATTAAAAATCACTCGTTTTCTCAACAAGCCAATTTCGTATCTTTCGAAAAGTTTTGTGGCAAATGTAACAACCGTGTACGGTTAAACATATACCTACTTATGCTTTAATGCGGTATACATTATATATGCCAATATTGGCATTGTTCAAAGCGTTTTACATAATATTATGAGATGTGCTATTTTTTCTTTTTCCAAGTGACTATTTTAAATCATTATGCAATAAAAACGTGTCTATGTTTATATCAACGTGTGTAATTACAACATCTTCCTTAAGGCTGAAAAAATAAAATAAAGTCTGCAACACATATTATAGTATTGCATGCATATTACACTTACTGTACCTACTTACACGCGTATCAAACACTCGGTAAAATTATCATTTAAACGTACATAATTTTATTCCGTGTAACGAGTTCCTCGTGAATGTCGAATGACTTATTATTTTTATTTTAAATTTTGTGCGTTGTGAAACAAAATGTCTATAGAGGACGTAATATTATAATAAGTAATATTTTGTTATATTCTACCTACTTATCGATAATATCGGGTTCGCGGCGTATATTGACTCTGTGTTATATTGTACCAAGTATAGGCGGTTGTTATTTAAATTTAATATTATGTGAAAAATGCAATTTTTTTATTTAATGTTTTTATTGGGAATAGGTACCTATACTGCAGTTATACTATAATTATTATTATTAATTGTAATATTCTCCATGGGTTATCGACGTGTATTGACAGGTATAATATTGGCTATCGCTATACAGCATACGCTACAACGGCCACGGGTGTTATCATCGTATTGAACACGTGAATCGTAAATGTTCAATTATTATTATTATTGTATACGAGATAAATTTCGACAAAACGATGATAATCGAAATACATTATACGCTGCACGATTCCGTTGCCGGTAGGTGAGCGCTCGTAATGGTGGTCACTCTGTGTAACAGCTGTCGACTGGTCTAGTCTAGACTTGAATAATATTATTCAGTTGCGTGCTAGCTGCCAGTTAATTTTTTCTAAGTTTCGTGTGATCTCTCGTACACTTTTAAAACGAATAGCATTAATTTTTGTTTTACTTTTGTTTTTAATAATAGATCTAAAGTTTAAATTCCTATTAGCAGTACAAACGTTTAAATTAATTTTATTTGAATTTTCATTACTATTATTTTAATTAACATTATTATTTTACTTTTATAAGTTTTACTCTGAGGTAAATCTAATTGAAACATTATTAATTACATTTATATTTAACGTCATTGCATTTTGTTTTGTTCTCACCTAATTTAAAATAAATTCTACTTTAATATTACTATGTGTTTATAATATAGTGTTAGCAGTTTAGAACGGTTTTTAAAACGAACATTTAACTCTTTTCATTTCTTTATTCGAAATAGTTTCTGTACGAATACTTCTATAGTTATGTGTTTTATTTTTTATTTTTGCACAGACGCATGTCTTTTTATGGATAATGTCAATCAATTTACCATTTTTGGTCGTATCTACTAACTCTTTAATAATAAAAAAGAAACATTTTCACGGCATGACGTAACAATTAGAATTAAACCGGTATCATCGTTCCATTAAGTGTATTCAGTACGCATAATAAAACAAACCATTTAGAAGATAAAATAATTGTTTAATTTTTTTTTATATTTTCTTCTGACATAACATATAATATTATATCAAGTATAAAATTATCGTTTCTGTAATATATTATAATGTAACAACACAATGTAAATGGTACTGTATAAATTGTTATAATCATAAATACTATTTTTCAATATTTTAATTTTACTTTTCCACCTACTCCTGCACATGTATTAAGTACGATATAATATGCCAATTGTACACATTTATTTGTGTGGCATTTGGCTCACGGTTCGGACGAAGTAGTGTGTGCGGGAATGTGGTCCGAATTGTAAAGCCGGTAGTTTAGCTATTTAAACTCGTAAAATTATTTTCTGTTAATTAGTGAAATCATTTTTGTTTCTTAAATTTTTTCATCATCGTCGTCATTCGAAAGCTTTATAGTTTGAATTTGTGTTAGCAATTCGTATTCATGTAAATGTCAGCAGTTAATAGTTCGTTGACCCAGTCGAACATAGATTATTCCTATTATTATTATATTAAATTAATACACTTAAACGTCTTAAACACGCATTACAATGTGCGTTTAGGCATAAAAAATATGTAGTTAACGTATTGAAGCTTTATTATAGCTGTTGCGAAATAAACAACCTTGGTATGGTTTCCCATAAAGTATGAATGAAATTGTTTATTTTTAATGCCGATTAAACGCGTAATGGGTAGGGAATTAAATCTCTCAGATTGAAATATCACTCATCGGTTGTAACTTGTAGATGAAAAATTATCTACGGAAGTGTCTAAAAAAAAATAATTAATCCTTTTAGCATAATATTATAGTGAAATAATGATAGTAAAAAAAAAACACGTAACGGTCATGGCTTAATTCGATCAAAAATCGATAATTAGGCACATGAAATTCACAAACATAATATTATATTGTTGTAACGCTATATTATAGTGATTATATTATCATCACGTTGATTATTCGTATATACGGCAAGAGGGCAATTAAAACGTTGCCGCTGCTATATAGGTATCTACTGATAACGAAATGGTGCACCGAATAGAGATATAAGGTTACCGAACGGCCTTGAACTTTTCCGTTGCAAAAGCCCCGCCGAAATCTTCAAACCGAAATCCGCTGAGCACGAGACACGTCGTCGCAATATAAATACACACACACACACACACACACCACACATATTATACAGTACATTTTAGTTGTACTTGACGTACATGTTTCGGACGCCTGATCTGCATCCTATATAGGTACATTGTACTCTCGTGTTACCTCTGCAGCCGTTGTATTTTTTTATTTTCTTACCGTGAACTTCTTACCGTGATGGCAATCGAAAATAAACGTCCCAATTGGCACATTCTTGTCGGCCGCCAGTTGCCAAGTAGGAGAGGAAAAAAAAGGAAGGCAATTAGAGCGAAATAAAATAAAATGTAAACCGATAACGTAAAATAAAAATATAAAAAAATACTTAAAGGATAATATCGCGTGGTGTAAACTATTCGAAAACAGAAAATAGGCATATTCGTTTTTAACGGTTCGATATTTTGTTTGCGTCTTTGCAGTAGCGTGGAACACGGCGACGAGATCTACTCACTTTGCCAGCTATCGCCTGTCGTCAGCAAGCCCGTTGTCCAGGACAAACCTTTGTCGCTTCAGCCTCCACCGCAGCGGCAGCAGAAACAGGAACAGCCGAAGCAACCAGCCGTGGTCAAGAGACCGTCGTCCACGGACAAAGTGTTCAAGCCCAAGTGCCTGGTGGACTCGGCCACGTTCTTATTACCGGCCGGCAATGGGCCAGTTTACTTGGACGTGAACGGCGACGGGAAGCCGAGAACCGCACTGCAGCCGGCCACGTCCACGGCCAGCGTCATCAAGAAGAAGCCCGAACCGTGTTCGGAAAGCCCGAAAGCCACCACGGCCAAGATTTTCGCCCCACGGACCGAAGATATGAACAAGGGGTTCCTGACGTTTTCGGACGACGACACGGGACTGACCAGTGAGTGTATATAACATATAGCCGATTTTCGTTTGTATACTACGCTGAAACCTCTAAATATCGGAAACTCGGTCGCTGAAATTTTGTCCGCTATTCAGAGGTGTCCGTTTGGGGAGGTTTCTTTGTACATATACTTTTGCCACTACGATTTGTCCCTACGACAAGTGTTCGTTATTCGCAACAACGCCACTCAACGAGTTTAATCGATTTTTTATCTCTAATTTGTTGGTTTTTAGTGCTCAAAGACGAACCGGAAGACTTGACTCACTTGGCCCCAACGGCCGGTGACGTGTGTGTGCCGCTGGACACTTGCGGTCTCGGGCATCTGGGTCTGTTCATGTCCGATGTGCTCGACGACCTCATACTCACCGACTGTTCGCTGGCGCCGTTCGACTCAATGCCGGCGCCACCATCGTTGCATGACGCGTACTCGTCGGCATCCCGGTCGTCACCTTCGGTGCACCACCTACACCACCACCACCTCCACCATGGCAGCGACGACCTGTCGCAGCACGCCGTCGCCGACCTGTGCGACCCTACCATGTCCTCGCTGCTGGGCATGGACCTAGAAAACAGCCCTAACGACCTGGACCTGGACTTGTCGCTTAAAAACCAGTTCATACCACTGTACGAGGACGACCTGTATCCGCTGTTGTCGGACGACCTGCTATGGGGAAGCGGCGATAGGTCGCCATCGCCCAAACCACCGTCGGCCGCGACCAACCGCCACGACGGCAGCAACAACAACAACTGGTGAGCGACGCACGATTTATTTGTAAAAACTCGGGGGAAATTGGGCTCCGGGGGTGGGAATGACGATATAGGGGGTGTTGTATAGTCGATGGTTATATTTTACAATAAGCACACAGTCTTATAATCTTTGTGTGTATTATTTTCACATAGGCATTTACCGACGACGGAAGACGACGTCGGGCAAAACGCAATCGACAGAGACGAGCCGCCGTCTCCAAGTCTGGCCAAGTTACTGCAGAAGACCGACACTGACGCGCTGCCTTGCAGACAGCAGCACTTCGACAGCGGCGGCGGCCTCCTGCACATGGACGGCGGTGACTCGTGGGGATCGATCAGCAAAATGTTACATCAGCGGTACAACTCGGGCGGTTCCTCCTCGGTCGAACCGACGGCTGTGACAGGTGAGGGTTCCGTCATTGGATGCGTACTTATTATCATACTATAGTGGTGTTTTGGCGATGCAGTTTAGAGCAACCGGATTACCAGTTTAGCTGTTAGCTTAACTGCTTAGTTTGTTCTCTCAAACTTGTATACAATTTGCTGAAAACTGCGTCGACAAAACACGCCTAATATATTATAATATTTATATGTATGCCGGGTTGCATGAATAATCACTAAACATTTAACGAATAAAAAACGATTTAGTGACGTTAGATCGGTCCGTTCAAACAAACTAAATTTTTCGTGCAACCTGATAAGCTATTACCATCGCACGTTTCGACGATGGTCTTGTGTGGTGGTATATTAATATAATATGCAGCTCTAATCGTTTCGGGCTATTGTCTTTATGTTTCGCAGATCACCGCCACAACTCTCTACGGCAACCGCAGCAACAGCAACAACAGCAACACTCGGACTGCAACGGGTCGGCGGGAGGCGCCAGAGCCAACGGCGGCGGCGTCAAGCGGACCGGGCCGAACGCCACCGCGGCCGCGGCGCCGTCGTCGTGGAAACGGTGCCGGCAAGAGGAGACGGCCAAACAGGGCGCATCCAACAGCGTGCTGATGAACCTGCTGGTCAGCGGTTGCGACGTGAGTGCCGGTTACGTGTGTTTCACGTCGCCAAAGTCAAAAAACGCCTCGGCGGCCACGGTCGCGTCCCAACAGCGTCATTCGCGTTTTTACGAACAGCAGCAGCGGCGCAACGTGACGGCTAAGTGATCGCGTGTATAGTGCGGACTTGCGCGTGCGCGCTCACGTGTTGATATAATATAATATTATCGTAGGCGCAGACGAATAGCCCAGGATTTTTGTTTTGGGGTGGGTACCGAAGAGTGTTCCCGTCCTCCCATGATATTTTATTAAAATTAATGGTATATATGCTTAGTATCAAGTATAGGTACTCATTTTTCTAATCGGAGGATTTGGCATAATTTTGGGTCACCAGCAGCAGCCCCCCTCCTCTATTTGCGCCAACGATATATTGTACATTATGTGGGTTGTGCCCGGTAGGAGTAGGATATTTTGACGATTCTCGTAAACACAATGCGTCTACTTACTCCCGCTGATACCTATATAGGTGAACCCTGTACATAATAATTCACACGTGAAGACGTGTGCGCGTGCGCGTGATTGATCCCGTACCTGTCCGTCTAGCCGAAGTTGAAGCGATACGGTTTAGATACGAACTTTAGATATGTGTATAATGTGTATTATTGTATAACACGAGAGCAACACTCGTGCGCCCTTATTCTTCCGCGTATGTATAGTTAAAAACACCCGTGTTCGTTCAGGTACAGAGCACCGTGGAGGAGGAGCAGAGAAAACGGGCCGATTTTCGTGGTGGTCACGGGGCTCGTTTTCGTCCGGGGATTATATAATATTATAGTATAGTTAGTATACACGACTCGTGCAATATAATGCATATAATATAACAATAATAATAAATATGATAATAATACACCACATTTGTTGATTCTTAGTTGAAAAAAAAATACGCGTCATATATATATATTATATATGCTAACACTATTTGTCGATTGTATTATATTCGTTTGTAGTTATTACTCATTCTACCATAATATGACATTATAATTAACGTTATATTATTATGATTATGTACCAATATACGTCAGGTGACCGACGTTTTCAGATCCTGTGGTGGTGCACCTGTCAACGACTCAGTGAATTGTTTAATGTTTATTATTACTTGTTTATTATACGAATATATATATCTATATATATAATTTATGCTATATGACATATAGTTATAATATTTTATTTTGTTTTAAAAATAATTTTGTCTATATAATAAAGAACAAAACATTTTGGTTTTTATTGCTCTCTTGATCCTTTCAGTAGTAGTAGTAATAGTTATCGTCGTAGTGGTGGCTAAAACCGTGTACCTCTTTGACTCAGCCTGGATTGTGCTTCCCCTCAACGTATATCGTTTTGTTCTGTACGATGAAAAAAAAAAGTAAAATCTATGGATTTTCTAAAAATTTTGTGACACGTGGCTGAAACATGAGAAAGTGTCGTTGTCGAGTATCATATACCTACTATATTTTGGTCTCACTTGACTAACCGGTATTATTATTGTATGACGTTCTTCCTCAATACAAAAAAACCGATATTAACAAAAAGATAATCATTCAGGGACCATGTCGGATGTAAATCAAAAATTAAACCGGTCAGGTGCATATACTTGCGGTTTTCTGAAAATTCGAGTACCTGTACTCGCCCGGATTATCTGAGGCGACTGCCCTTGAGAGAACGCTACGTAATTCAGAGATATTCAGATTCGTATACTTATAATGTCCCATAAACCCTTGACGCGGTCGCGTTTGTCACCAAAAAGACTATCCGATCACAGGTGTATAACGATATAACTACACGTAAGGGTACAGAAATTCGAGTGGCAGTGAAACGATTTCGATCGAACCAGCCGTAATGTCAAATAGGGACACCACCACCGTTCGGTGTATATAAAAATATCTGTTGGGAAATAATACATGTAAAGGGTTAGGGACAGAGTGAGGATGAGAGAGAAAGAGAGAACCACTTTTCCGCCGCGTATATGCGATATCGCTGTGCTGTCATGGCCCCGGATATGTGTTTAAACCGTTGTCCGGACTTCGCAAGCTCAGGACTAAGAAATTTGAGTATCCGTGATCCGTTATGAAATCGTCGATATACTATATCTCGATCGTCGTATTTTTCTTCTTATAGCTATAGCGTTCGATTTGAAAAAATAAACTTCAATATATTTTTACAGCTAAGCCCGACGTAGGTTAAAATAGACGGTTGCGCCGCGTAGTGACGACAGACTTGCCCCCCTCCCTCTCACCGCTTACGATTACTATTTGTGTTTTTTTACTGATGAAGGATGTTAACGTTTTATTGTTGTGTCCCATCTAGGACGACGCGGGAAAATCGATGGCCGGCAAGAACTCGATGGTGAAAGACGGTTCGCAGCCTAGGCACCGGTCAAGGCTAAAGGCGGTCTCGTGCCTGTTGGACCCGTGCAGCGCGGCCATACCGTCACTGATGGACCTGACGGCGCATGACTACGACGTGAACGCGCCGGCGGGTGGCGCACTGCTCCAGGGATCAGAACTTCTGAAGGCCCTGGAAATCGGAGGAGGAGGTGGCGGTAACATGGCCGCTGCATAGTTTCTGGAAGAGCAGGAGTAGGAGCAAGTGAAAAGGATAAACTAGTTTTCCGAGCAGTAATCTATATTGATATACTCCGCTTATATAATCACACACACATGCGTATATTATTTAGTACCCATCATATCCAGACATAAACTCAAAACGACATACTACCATTTTGCTATCCAATTATAGAACAATATTATCATGATAATATGCGCACTAAGTTATTTTAATTTTTGTTGTTTTTTTTTTTTTAAATTTAATAACAATATAAATAATAATAATAATTTAATTATTTTGTACAAGGATTGCGCGTAATTATTTTGTGGAGGATAGAGCAGAGGAGAGCAATCCGTCCGCAGTCTCATCTCACTATACCTACCTACTAATATAGGTAAAGCGTCGAGGTCTAAATTCAGCCGAGCTTGATCCCCCGAACAACCTTAGTGCGACGGACGATTTCCATACATTTTTGTTGTTGTCCTGCCCTCTATAAATCACGCATATAACTGTTCTCATTATTTTTTTTTATTAAGCCCCCTCTCCCCAGATAAAAATAATGTTTGCCCTCAAATGTGCTACCTCCCCTCTGCCCCGAGTCTTCTTATTTACATTACATAAAATCTATATTATGATATCATATTCTTATATACTAACCTCTTCCAATATATTGTTTGTGTTTACCATCGCTTGATGTGTATCGCTTAGTTTTTAATTGTTTGATTTTATTTTCGATTTTCTTTACACCGAAAAATATTACGCACTGCCCACGTGTATCGCTGGTTTCGGGATAATGTGCTTGACCCCGCGAAAACGATTTTTATTTGATTATCCATTATATTATATTATGTACTGCATTTTCCCACAGAGTATACCGATATCATTACTATTATAATAATAATTATTTTTATTTTTACTACTATTATTATCATCGTTGTCAATGAGAAACGTCTTACAACTGATCTTTTAATATTAAGTTTAAAATTAACATTTTTTCTACGTCGAATGCAAACTTCATAATCTCTTTTTCGGTTACCGAAATTTACTTAATAATAATAATATGTACCTACCTTTATATATTATGTAATCTTAATGTTTTAATTTTGTAATGGAGGGGACGAATGATGCAAGAGCGCAGTAAAAACAATTTAAGAGCCGTTACTCATAGGTACGTACGTGGACGATTAAGTAAAAATAAAAAATTAAAATGATAGGAGAATTGAAAATGATTGCAATTTGCTGTAAATTTTATTTTCATACCGTCTGCCATCGTTACGTGCATAGTGCCTACTTTATGGTATAATATACAACTGCTCTTAAATTGTTTGTACTCGCGGCCAAATGATACAATTTTTAGTGAACGGTGATGGTTTTGTGTAAGACACGTCCGAATGCTCAAATATTATTTTGTATAATTCTTTTTAAGATGGAAAAATTATATTTAGTGATATTTATTAAGGGACATTTATGTGAGTGTAAGCGTATAAGATATTTTTCGATACATTTCTTTATTTTGTTAACTTTTTTTTTTTGTTTTTGATTTGATTTTTTTTTTCAAAGTAGTTATTTTAGTTAAGCAGTTTGGATTGTTTGCTATACATTCATATAATATATATTATACATAAATAAATAAATAAATATAAATATTATTATTATTATATACTTAGATACGTTCGTCTATAATATAATGTAAATCATATAACCATATTATTATATTATATATTATATATTAAAATTGCGTTCAGTCATGTATTTCCCGTGAAGTTTCTACTACTAAATTAATAATCATGCACCCCTTGCCCGAAGTCTTCCATCACGACGGATTCGTTTCGTATAATGTAATATCGTGCTGGTATGACTTTTGCGATCTCGGTACATAAGTACATATTAAGTACATTCCTTTATACAGAGCTAATTCTGCATACCCGGTGAGTACAACTTTTGGGCGCGATACGATTGCGCGCGGTCCTTATCAGCGGTACCTTTTTAAGCGTACGATTGCGCGCGCTATATTATTTTAAATTTTAAGCAACGTTGCCAAATATATAGGTCCATGGTAAATCCGTACGATACCATAGTAGATTATAGTAGATTATTTATTACTTATTTTTGCCGATATCAGACAAACTTCCCATCACTAAGAATGAATTGGTTATATTATATTATATAAACAATAAAACACCAGAAAATTTACTTAAGTATTTGGCCATAGTTGGAAATAGGTATCGGGGGTTTAAAATTTAATTTAAATATTGATTTAAGAGTATTATATTTTTTCAATTATTAAATTTCTTTATTTTGTATTATTTTTTATTTAACTTTTTTATTTTTATTATTTACGTTAATTTTTTAATTAACATTTTTTAATATTATTAACTTTTTGTATTTTTATTATTTACGTAATACATTTGGCAACGTCGCACCCAATTTCACGCGCAATCGTACGCCTTTGAGTAATTAAAATGTTGTCTTTTGTTATTCTGGCACTGCGCGCAATCGTATACCTAAAAAGCTAAAACGCGCGCAATCGTACTCCGCCGCAACTTTTCCACCTACCTGTAACCCCGAGAGCCACAATATACATATTATATTATTATGTATTTTATAACAGTTAACAGTAATAATATTAATAATAAAATATGGTCGTCCGCGGAGTTCGTGTCTAGGTCAACTCATCCTTTTCCTCGTGTATGGATGCATCCTCATTTTTCAATGGCCTCGATGACAAAAATATTATGTCCGTCTCTTGCTTATAGGTCCTACAAGAAGTGAGCCGCTTGTGGCATTCGGCGGGGGCCGAAAGGTCTGAGCGCTGCTATTTATTTACGTCGTAATTGTGTTATAATATCGCTATATTATTAATTATTTTATTAATATTATTATTGCCCAGATACACTGTTTGATAATTATTATATCATCATCATTATGACGCGCGCGCGAAATAAAACGCGTAATTAGCAAATAGCTCGGTGGGGGGGATGTATTGCGTTATTATCACTCTGATGTATTATAATTATAGATAGGTACCTACTACCTATATTAATAATTATATTATATTATGCCTAAGAATATAATATCGTAGTCGAGTTTTTTTTATTGGATTATCCAGTTCAGAACCATTTTTTTCGCCTTTTCACGCGCTAACGTAGTGAACGCGCAGGTATAATATATTGGTGGTACCTACTACCTATACCCACCGACCGATGCTGTACCTACCTATATAGTCAAGTATAAGGTCGATTAAATTTTGTTTTTGTGTTACATAAAATCATTAAATTGTGTAACTATGTACAAATTACCGACCTATACTACCTACCTTTTGTTTTATTTTTTAAAAAGTACAGACGGCTGGCTGATTACTGATTAGACGTGTTGTTTAATTAAAAATATTACCTGGCTAGGTACCTATATATATATATATATATATACCTATATTATAATGTCTACACCTGTGTTCACGCACCATTAAATCAATGCTCGATTTAATAACAAAATTAAAGCTGAGCAAAAGATAAACTGTTTGTTCAACATCTAATTACCTATTTAATATATTATTATTTATAGATACCTATTTATATAGTAATTTATTATTTTAATATAATACCCGTGTGTGTTTTCGTGTTTGTTTATAGTAAATAATATCTGATAGTTATGCCACATTATTCAAACATAATATTATAATACTTTTTATAATTAATTTACAAAGATAAAGTACCTATTATTTATTTGAAAAAGAAAAAAAAGTTTGGAGTTACCTTTTAAGTATATTTTTTCGAGGAACGATAATTGGTTGTACTATACAGTGTTATTCATCAAGCATGCTCAATTGCTCAGTGCTCACACCCAAATGTTTTCTTTAATAATGCATTTATATTTTATTCAGATTTTGATTCTTGGGATTTTTAAATACCCTTAGATTGAGAGACCATCAAGAAATTTGCTAGAATAAACCGGTGTGAAAAATAATGCACTGGGATGTTTGGACCATACATTTACATGGTTCATTATCCCAATGCGGGATTATGTGGGATAATTTTAAACCGGTCTGGTTTATCAAATTTCTATAATTTTTCAAATTCTTGAGATTTTTTGTACTACTTAAGGATAGTGTCCCCTGGTGAAAACTTCTGTTTTTCGAATGAAATCCCCCTCCCATTATGTACTGTAAATTATTTAGTGGATTGTTTTTTTAAAACTTTTTATGTATCTTATTGAAAATACGAATGAGTAATTTTGTTAACTTTGTGTATTGAGGATTGTAGGTCCATGATAACGGGTTTGGAAGTTATGGGGGCTATGGTATTCTATAAATATTATAGTTTATAAAAATGATCCAAGTAGGTACAAGATAGGTACCTACTGTACAGTACTAGATTAGATATAATATCTACTTTATAATTTTGTAAAACCATTTTTAAGAACTATTGCCCTTATAATATAAACATGTTTATAATAACTGAAGAACTGATCGTCCGTGTTTTAAATTAGATGTAGAAATCAAAACAAAAGTGTCAAAACAATTAACCAATAAATAATGTACAGTAAAAGATTGGGGGAGGGGTTATTTTAAAAACAGAAGTTGTATCTCCACGGAACACGGAACACTCCTTAAATAGTACATTTCAAGAATTTTAAAGTATGGTCTTTAAGTGTATTTAGAAGTTTCAAAAACCAGAATTTGAATGAATTAATTATTAAATGAAAAAATTGGTGCTAGTAAGCTTGGTGAATCTCCTTGCATATTATTATGAATTTCAGAATTTACGATTATAGTATGTGCCGGTGATAGAAATTTATTTTGTTCAATAAAATATACTATAATAATAAATGATTGTTCAAGCAGACTCGACAAATTGATTCATCGGCGTTTTTATTATTTTTCTTAACAAGTTTAATTCAAATAGTATACATTGTAATACCAAATGTTTCCCTAAATATAGTCTTGAACTCTTGAAGCAGTGTTAACTACTATTCTTTCAATTGATTAGCATAATCAGTCAATTGGAAAATATAAC